CGGTGAGATTTGAACAGCTGAACTGCAGAACTGCAGTCAGCTGAAGTAGCCTGCAGTGCTGCATTTAACCACTGTGACTTTCTTTCTTTTTGTGTTTTGTCTTACACTCCCTTCCTACAAATTGTAAGCCGCCCTGAGTCCCCTCAGGGAAAAGGGCGGCCTATAAATGTCAAATAAATGAAAAAATGAAAAAAAAATGAAATCATATCCTTAAATCCTTAATGATTCTTAACAATTGCATTCAAAGAGTAAGAACAGAGCAAAATTGATGTATGTTTGCTATAGAAGGCAGAATTATCTGTTTTGTTTTTTTAATGTATAATGTTTAATATGTTTTTTTATAGGCGCTTCGGATTAGTGGGACTCTATAAAGGACTAGAAGCAAAGCTACTCCAGACAGTCCTCACTGCTGCACTCATGTTTCTTGTCTACGAAAAACTTACTGCTATTACTTTCACAGTCATGGGGTTAAAGCATCCCTTAAAGAACTAAAATATTTTAATATAAAGCATATAAAACAGAGAGAGGAAATCAGAATACCTGACAAATGATTGGGTGCCATAAACAATTTTATCCCAAGGCCAAAATTTTATTTTACTGTGCTTTTGTTTTCAATCAAAACTGTTGAATGTATCTATATTCCAGTATCTAGAAGGCATCACTTTTAGTCAGTTTTATGTAAAGATTGGGGCATTCTTTGATTTTTTTATATATATTTTAAAATACCCTTTAAGCACTAATTCTCCATTTGCTGTCAGATGATATTCCAAATATTTGGTGTTACATGATAATCTTAATGAGTCCAATAAAGATTTTATTACAAAATGTCCTTAGAAGATAAGCTTTAATTGGTTAAGAATATTTTAATTGTCTTGGAAGAACTGAGTTGTGTTCTTTTATGCCTTCTTCTGTAGCAACCTAAGAATTTTGAAGAATGGATTTGAAATTGTTTTAAGCATCAATTTTATTACCGTTTTAATGCTTAATTAAATATTGTGTCAAGCTTCCCTGATATGATAAAATTGAATAATATATGTACATACATATAGAATGTTAATCATGTCAGATTTCTGACATTTAAGAAATTAAAATTATTCCATACATACTCTTCTCCCTCTTCTATCATATGAACTATTTTAACATAAATTGCAGAATTGGGAATTATCTTTTTATACTAGTAGAAGCCCCAACTTAAAAAAAAATGTAATTACCATATGAGATTGTTCAAACATTGTGATGATTTATTATATATCAAAGTAGGTAACTATGAATCTTGGGTTTATATGTTACCTCTCTGATTTAATTATGGGGCAGTTGAAAACTTCAGTTTTTTAAATTGCATTTTTCTTTTTGTTCTAATCCAAGTCAACTTCAAAACATAGGCATAAAAAGGTTTATTACTTTCAATAAATTATAGTTAAGATTTAACTATGCTATTGGTTTAAACAGTATTTTAAGCAATATTTATATATGGTTAATAAACAAAATTAGTTCCTGCAGCCATGCTGAAAGAAAAGAATAAAGATGGAATGTGCAAGTTTATGATTCATTCTTATTGTGATAAATCATAGTATTGAACTATATGTCTATTAAATAAATGCACATATGCCCTATTATTAAAACTGTAATTAAATTTTGAAAAAAGAACCAACCTACAGCAAATAATAAACATTCCATATTGTAACTGTAATAAGTGAAAGACTAAGAATTATTCAATAATATTTATTATTACTGAGATCCATAATTGATTAATAAAGAATAAACTTGGTTTGAAATTGATTGTTATTCTGTTTTTCAAAACAGAAACATTGTTTGGACTGTTTCTTACTTTTGTTTTGCCAAATGTTTGATCATAGTAACTCTTAATCTGCTTTCAAACAACTAATAAATTTGAGGAAAAAAGCTAAGGATAATTCACAGTGGGATGAGGAAGGTGGGGCTCTGACAGTGGTGGGTTTCAAAAAATTTTGGAACCTCTTCTGTAAGTGTGGCCTGCTTTGCGGGTCCACTGGTGGAACCTCTTCTAACCGGTTCGGTAGATTTGACGAACCGGTTCTACCGAATAGGTGCGAACTTGTAGGAACTCACCTCTGGGCTCTGAAGGCATGAGAGGAAAGCCATCCATGCAGAAGAAACTCCTAAATCAAACCCAAAAGAATATGAAAGCAAACATTTGTACTGTTGTCAATGAAACTTTACATAACTTTTATGTTTAAATACATTTGGGTGGAGTTTATGAGAAGTCTCTGGTTGGAAGACACTCATGTAATAACATGGGAAGAATATCTAGTTTCCACATATCTGTTTGGAATTGAAGATGTGGTAAGATAAAAACCTCAAGGACTGATGGTTACTGATTATTGAAATAATAGTTCCCCAATTAACAACTACATGCATATAGTAATTGAAAGTGAGGATGAATCAAGAAAAAGCAAAATTGTCAAAATAGAAATGAAACCATTTATATATTTTAAGGAATTGAAATTATGAAAACAAACAAGGCCAGTGTAACTCCTATGTTTACATGGTGTACTTGAACATGTATTCTGTGTGTGAGTTTATCAAAACAATGGAATGTCAATAATACTTCAAAAGGGGCTTGTCTTGCTTTCAGAATTCTTCGAATGGTAGAAAAATGCACAAGATAAATGCTTTTCTATATTAACCAATATGGAAGTCTTGTGATATAGAGAATTGGATAAAAGAGGGGATCAGTTGATAGATGATGAGGGTAATTTTTAACATGCTGTGCTAAGAGATATATACCTATCAGATATAACTCAATGGCAATATTTATAGCTACAACATTGGTTAATGCTCAGTCTAGGAGCATTTTTAGCTTCTAAGGCACCTGAGATACTAGAACAACTGAGTAAATCTTTTGAAACAACCCCCCCCTTAGTTTTTATAGGCGTTATAAATAAATCTAATGCACAAGTTAAAAGATGAGTGGAATAAAGAATTAGAACTTCCTGTATTGCATATACAATGAGAGACTGAACTTTATGGCAAGAGTGTCAATTGCTCTTAAACTATGACTTCTATAACAAAAGTAATATTTGGAATGCATTGGACTCCATTGTGTTTGTATAGGAAAGGATTGTGTAAGACAGCATTTTGTTGGAGATGTAAGAGGGACAATGCTTTCTTAAAATGTCTTTGTAAAATGTCCTATGTACCATGTCCTTACTATGGAAGGTTTTGGAAGAAATAGTGGACTATGTAAACGTGTGTGACAGAAGCTAAAGTTTTCGGAGGATAATATTCTCTTGAATTACATATTTAATACAGTATATGAAACTTGAACAATATACATCTTTTCTCTGAGTTCTTACTATGTTTAAAAGATTCATTCTGCAATATTGGAAAGATAAATGTATGGCCTCATTTACTTCATGGATTGAAGATTTGATTAAATTTCCTAAGATTGCATACAGACAAACTTTGGATAAATATAATGAAATATGAGACTCGTTTATACAAAATACAGTACGGTAAAAAACCATGATAGTTATAAAATTGTATTAGAAGTGTCTGTGTATATATAACGTTTATACTAGATAATATATAGAATTGTAGCTGTTTATTGCAATGACATAATACCTTATATACTCTATATATTTTCTCTTGAATTTCTTTCTACTCATTTTTAAGCACATTCCATATTTTTTTTTTAGTACACATGTATTTCTGTGTCTTTCTTTTCTTTTTCTGTCATTTTTTATTAATTGAAAACTGGCTTAAGGCTTCTATCACTGAGCTTCAGCAAGAACATGCATGATAGTTGCTTTGCAAGAGATCCATCTTTAAATGGAAACAATAAAAAAAAAGTTAGTCCAACATACTGGATTGCTGGAGAGGAGCTCATATAGCCATTACTATGATGACTTTTAGCTACTGGTATATGCAGTATTTATATCCAATTGCTAAATAATAAAGAACAAGTTATATAGTATAGCCACTAGAGGTCACAGGCTGTTAGGAAAATAAAGGATGCTCTGCATTACTGTATAGCAGAAACAGGCATTTGTGGATCTTTACTGACAAGTCTCTGGGCGATCTGCACTACATCAGCAAATAATTATCTTTCCTAATTACTTAACCAGCATGACAACAAAATGATTCCATCTCATCCTACGTGATATAATTTGTAGTTCTAAAATGAAAACCAATTCTCTTGACCACTTGGTTTTTCTTTCAAAGGAATGTACGGTAAATTATGTTCATTTCTGGTATTCAACACATATTTTTTTCCAGAATTATTTCAGTAACGTATTTTTGTACCAGGCTCCAGTTTAAAATAATATCATCAAAAATAGAGTCGAATCCAGAAAATAATAAAAAACAAAAACCCTAAGAAACCACAGTATTTACAATATGTCTTACCTTTAATAAATTAATGATATTTAGTTGTTTAACTTTCACAGTTCTGACAAATACAGAAATTTAAATTTGATTAGCTGACATGTTTTCCCCCATACCATGGATTCTTACTGCACAAGTGAATGAATATATGGACTATATATTGTAATTGACAATGTTGTGATCTTTTTGTATTTATGTAGCATTATTTGAATAAATTATTGAACAATCTACTGAAGAATTAATCAGATCGTGCTGATGCTGACAGGTTAAAACTGAATTTCAAAACTAAAATATAAAGATACTAGGTAAAATAGGTAAACAAAACATACTTTTAACATGACATAAGAGTATTTATAGAAAGAATTTTATAGTAGACCAGAAGTTAATATGGGTCTACAATGTAAGACAACTGAAAAGACTAAAGCAATCTAATAAATTAATCGAATGCATCAACAGAATTACAATATCAGTAATGTATCTGCAACTATATTGCTGTCTTGGAAAGATGCCAACAGATTGGCAAAGAGATGAGCAAAAACTAAAGGGTTTATGCATGGCTTCCCTATTCCCTAAATTACTTAGATGTTATTGAAACAAAGCCAGGATGTCAGCATGGACCATTATTCACCATCTTGACCTTATTAGTTAAAATTCTCTTCCAAGGACATTCCTCACTACCTTATCCATTTTTCTACTAATATTCTACTTGTAAATATTTTTTTCTAGTCCATCAATCATAGGTAGTCCTGGAGTTATGACAATTGAGCCCAAAATTTATGTTGCTAAGTAAGACATTAAGTGATTCCCCCCCCCCATTTTACAACCCTTCTTGCCGTAGTTAAGTGAATTCATTGCAGTAGTTAAATTAGGCACATGGTTGTTAAGTGAATCTGGCTTCCCCATTGACAGAAGGTCGCAAAAGGGGATCACATGAGCCTGGGACACTGCAACCATCATAAATATGAATCAACTGATCACGTGACTATGAGGATGCTATGATAGTCATGTGTGAAAAACGGCTGTCGCTCTTTTCAATGCTATTGTAACTTTGAATGGTTACTAAACAAACTGTTGTAAGTCAAATACTATCTGTGTTAAAATATATGTTATATTGCATTTGGTATTGCTGAATGAGAAATATGGGCGCTGTAGTCCAATTCATATGAAAGGCATGAGGACCAAGAAGAGTGTGCAGACAGTAAATCCTGAACCCGATTAAGAAGTCCAAATTATAATAGAGAGGATGTCAGTTAAATTGGCAAAATCATCCTGGTAACATGAGTGAAGGTGAGATCAGCTGTTTCCATTTAAAGAAGAAGAGACTTTCTGGATGATCAGAAGCAGACCATCCTAAAGCATTTCCAAGGAAGTTACATGCCTGTACTACACATGCTGGTGTACTATCCCTTTAAGAATTCCTCCATCTCCTTCCACCCAGGGCCATGACAGCGTTTGAGTACTCTAACTTTACCTAGGGGCGATGACATAATTCCTATCTTCTAATTGGCTGCTTTCTCGTTCAGTCACTTTTTTTTTGCCTTCCCGCCCATCCGTTTATCCCCACTCGCCGCCCAGAGGCCGTTAACATTTCTAGTTACTCCACAACCGTTGACGGGAACCGGTGTCACTCATCGCTGTTCTTCCTTTTCATTGGCTACGCGGCTTGTCAATTTTTTGGACTCCGGCAATTGGTGGGCGGGAGCTTCCGCGGCGGTGTAAGAGAGAGAGAGAGAGAGGCTCGGAGCCGGCGGCAACGGTGGTGCTGGCGAGAGCGTCTCTCTTCGTGTCTTACGGACAACTTTTCCGTCGGGGGGAGGTGTGGACTTTGGAAGGACGACCGCTAGGATGCATTCATGATCAGGTGAGTCGAGAGAGGCTGCGGGGTTTGCACGAAGAGGACCGACCCCCTCCCACCCTTGGACTCTCCCATGTATGGGGCAGGGAACCGCCCCTCTGAAAAAACACAAGCCGGGGCTGCTCGGGGATTTGGCCGGGGTCGCCGCGCTCCTTCCGCTTCTCGCGATGTGAGGACAGTGCTGAGCCGCCGCCCTTCATCCTGGGAACCTCCCGAAGGAACAACCGCTGCCGGCGGACACTCTTCATTTTTTCCCCTCCAGTGAGTCAGACGTGCGATCCCTCCCTCGGCGGCGGCGGCGGCCTTCTCCTTCGCCAGTTCTTTCCATCGGCCTGACTTCGGGATGCCCCTCCGCCCTCCTCCGTCTCCCGCAGGAGCTCCTAACCAGAGGGTGTAGATTCCTCTCTTTTCCCCCCCATGGATCTCCCTCGGTGAAACTCCCTGCTCCTCTCCCCCTTCTCTAGGTGAGCTGCCAGGTCTTCTCCTCTCTGCTGCGACGCCTCCTGCGATCGTGTCGCTCCATGCTTTTGCGTTTTGCTTGGGCGCCTTGCTTCC